ATTTTATAATGAGGAAGGGATGGATTCTTCAAAAAGGCCTCCGTCTTCAACACCGTGCACCTAACCAGGGAGGCTGCACCAACACACCCAGGAACTCGGAGCAGGGCCCAGCTCCACGGTCCAGTACTCGCCCTGCCCGCACAGGGCCCTGGGCTCATTCCCACACAATAAACAGAGAAGTAATGACCGAACTGCAAGGTGGGATTAGAAAAATGAGTTTTACTTGGAAATGTCACTGCGTCCCTGTCATCAAGGAGGTGACAAATACACAGACACTCGACCTGAAGAGCACTGTCAACTCGACAGGATCCAACAGCACCACTCTCCTCAGGCCTCCACCAATGGAGCACCGTCCCCAGAGGCCACACTGTGACACGAGACAGTTTGACAGACACCATACAGAGCATGTTCTCAGACCTCAACGGAGTCAGCGTCAGAAACCAACTCAGGAAACAAGAAGGTCGGCCAGTTAGAAATGAAAACACCCCCCTCCTGAACAAAACACGGATCAAAGAAGAAGTCTGGAGAGACACTTCTTTTGGAGTCACTGGTGGATAATGACAGGTCAAGCCCGGGGCTCCACGGGAAGAAAGCCAGAGGACAGGGACACTCCAACATTTCACAGCCACACAGAAGAGCGCCGTGAGAGCCAGGCCACGGTCATTTCCTTTCTTAAAGTGTGTGTGTGTATATATGTGTTTTGTAGCAGCAGGTGCACACAGTACCTTTTTATTTTATTTTGATGCGGCGCCGAGGATGGAACCCAGGGCCTCACACATGCGAGGCGACTGCTAGGCAGCCCCAGCCCCTTCCTGCTTTGGACGTGGCCCCTGCGTGTTCTGATGCCCACCTGGTTTCCCTTTCTCCTAAAGCAGGCGCTTGGCCGGCGGGCTGGTCTGGGTCACGTCAGAGGCTGGTTCTAGAGAGACCCCTTGTTTTAAATACGCATTGATCCCTTGGTTCATAAACTGCACTTAATAGTGACAGTCAAAGTCACACAGAAAGTCTACTGGATGGACAGTCAGCGGGGTGGGGCAGTGGCAGGGTGGGACATGAAACCTAAGTAGCATCCTAGTTACTGAAAAACTAACAATTTGTTTTTTTTCTTCTTTTTAATCAAACCCAGGGAGCTTCATCACTGAGGTTTATCCTTAGCCCCGCCTTCTATCATTTTTTGAGATAGGGTCTTCCTAAATTGTGGGGGCTGGCCTCAAACTTGTGGTCCTTCTGCCCCAGTCTCCCAAACTGCTGGGCTTACAGGTATACAACACCACGCCCGGGAAGCTTTATTTTTACATATGTGTACACACACACACACACACACACGTACATGCACATGTATATACATGTGAGTAAAGAGCAAAGTGCAAAATCTGCACAGCAATGACATTATTTCATCTGGCAAACTGACAAGACTAAAAAGCACGGCGTGCTGCACACCGGGTTGGTGGGAGTACAAACTGGGACACTCTTTGGGGGCGGTGTGGCAAAATGGGATATCAAGCAGCCACTCAAGAGAAACAGGATGCCTAGTTTGCACCACACGGAACCATCTCCAAGGACGAGCCACACTTAAGAAAAAGACAGAGCAAAACGACGTCACAGTGTTGACGCTCGTGTCAAAACACGATCTATGCACTCACACGTGTCCCTGAGGACTACATGACAAGACCCACGCTGAAGGAATGAAAGGTCATATGGCAACAGCAGCTGCCCCCCACCACCCAGAGCTGGGCAACCCCAAGAAGGCAGGGGACACTCCTCCTTCACTCTGTGCCCAGTTTGGTGTGACTTTGTTACACGGGTCTCTGTCACCCTTCCAACACACACGAGCAACAACTCCTCCGAGCACTCAGAGAGGAACCAGCACATGGCTGGGGACTGAGGGCACAGAGCAAGCGGCTCCAAGCAGGATGCGCAGGACACAGCACCAGGGCTGGGGACAGCAGGAGGGAGGGACACGGGGCCGCTGACCAAGAGCACAGCGTGAAGTAACACTGCTGTCACCTGGGCTGGTGGGACAGCCACGGGGCCTCACGGTGGAGTGCGAAGATGCCAGACGCCACCGTCCCTCCCCAGGACTGAGCCCAGAGTGCGTCACCACTGAGCTGGGCGCAGACCTTTTATAACTTTTTGAGAAAGGCTCTCACTAAGTTACTGAGCCTGGCCTCAAACTTGTGAACGTTCTGCTTCAGCCTCTGAGTCACTGGGGTTAGGCATGCGACTGTCCTGCCTCTCTTTTTCTGGGGTGCTAGACCTCGAACCCAAGGATGCTCTCCCTCTGTTACTGAGCTCCATCCTCTGTTCTTTTAAATTTTTAGGAAAATCTTCAAGCCCACAGAGAGGGCAGGAAGGGCTGCACAGCGTCGGCCCAGGCAGAGCAAATCAGCAGAAGGAAGAGCACCGATTATGTCCAGCATGTGGAATTCACTATATCACAGTATCCTTTTAACTTACTTTACTGGCTTCCAAAACAGGAATAAAAAAATAAAACTGGAACCTGATGTGTGCTATGTCCTCCATGTCCTCTGCCCCACACCTCTGTGTCCCCAGAAACAACAGCACCCTGACTGCACCCCTGCCTTCCACCCTGAGACCTGACACTGCACCCACTTCCTCAGGGCCTTCTGAGCGCTACAGGGACAGGGCACGAATGGACACAGCTCTGCCACACGCACCCCACCCTCTTCTATCCTGCATAACAAAGCGTGTTGACCTTGGGCTGACGATATCTATTACTTTTATCTATTAAAAATATAACATCGATCCTTGGAAAAACAGCTCCACGGGCCTTTATTGGGACAGTGAATGAAATGTGGGAATTTGGAGTTTGGATCAGACAATGGCACATTTCAGTGTTAGTATTTTCTCATTTTGCTAACTGTATTTTCATGATGGAAGTCTGTCACTGTCCTTAAGCCCAATGCACAGGAGTGATGTCCCCAGTCTGTTCTCAAATGAACCAGAAAAAAAATGAACCCACTCATATTTAGAATGTGACAGCACATAACTCACAAACCTGAGTGACAGGCACAGTGAATCTGTATGGACTATTTTTGGTAAGTTTGAAATTATGTACAAATAAACCATAAAAATCCACACTGCGCTGGCTTCCTGGGGCTCTAACGGCCTTATGTCACCTACTTACGTCACCTAGTCCCTTCCCAACTCATAGAATCAGCACTGTCAGCGCAGCTCTGTCAACTCACTTTCCCGAGTCGCACGCCTGGGGATAGACGCGACTCGACCCTCGGTCTCTGTACCCTCAGACACGGCTCCGACCTGTTGTCTAGCCTGCTGTCCTTTTCAAAAACAAAACCCAAAAAACCCTTCCCTACCCACCTTGTGAGAGAAGCCACCATTTGGAGTCTAGGAACTGTTACTCACGACAACATCAGAGAACTCGTCCCTCCTCTCCCCAGGCCTCAGGGAATGCCAGGTGGTCACTAAGGCACGAGCTGATGATACAGAGAACCGCACGGGACCCCCAGCACTAATTTTGAAAATCCAGAAACCAGCCAATAACCTTTATTTTACTTTGAAAACCTCACATAGCCAGTGTGGTGGCACTGGGCATGTCCGACTTCACTGGCGGCTCCCAATGGGACACTGTCAATTATTTAACAAACATAAAACTCGCACCAAAGGACCGTCTTCCTTAGAAACTGCAAGCTCAGCACCAGAGATCTCTCCCCCAAGAGAGAACTGTTGAGAGGACAGGACTGCATCCAGCCAGGAAGGTGGCGTCCCCAGGGGCTGGGCGCCAGCAGGGAAGAGCCTCACTCTATAGATAAGGGTGGTGCCAGGGTCCCATCTTAGGGAGACAGGAAGTTCTCCTTAGATAATACACAGGGAGCTGCGCTCTGGACACAGACCTACACACCCGGTCTCCTGGGGTGGCCACCCGTCCTTCTCTGCACCCTCATCTGCTTCCCGCCCTCTGAAAACAGTTGCCATTTGACAATGTGACTGTGAGCTGCGCAGAGCAAGCTTCTGTGTCGGGCTCAGGAGAGTCCTGCAGTGAGACCCCACACCTCCCACGCAGGAGCGACTCTTACTTATTAGAAACGTTTGTCGTTTGTAACAGGAAGAGTCCATGGAGTGTCTTAGAGCAGGCAGGGGTAGAATTTACCCAGTCGCTCTGTGTCACTGTCTGCCTGGGTGAGCTTCCACTCCCTAGGACAGCAATCCCCGATTCCCAAATACCCCTCACCTGGCGTCTCTCACGTCCATGCTGTGCAACTCATGTTCTTCCTGCTGTTCGTCTCTGTTCTCACGTCTGGATCTGGCCTTTTGCTTCGGCTGATGTGAGAACACTGCATCTTTATCTGTCAGGGTCTGTTGCCCTTCCTCCCAGCTAGGGCCTACATACCTACCGTCTGAGAAAAAAAACGTGCAGTGGGCCAGAGGCAGGCTCAGCACCGCCCCTGCGTAAGTGACTAGCAGTCAATGACACCAGTAGTAACAGGATGACACAGAGGTACAACACACTGGACACTGTCCCGGGCCAGGCCCTTCTTAGCACTTCCTAAGCAGCGTCCTGTTGATTCCTTACACTGACCTGTGAGGTAGGTGGGCATACTATGCACGTGCTGCAAGTGGAAACCGTGAGTCTCTGACATTTACCTGCCCAAGACAGCAACAGCGATAAGTGGGACTCAGACAAGCGGGCAGCCTGGGACCAACATGTCGCCCATCAATTTGGAAGCCAATGAGCAACAAAATGGTTCTTTATCACAATAGTTGAAATAGCAGGTTAGAGTTCTTAGAAATCAGTTAAGCAGGGCTGGAGGGCAGCTCGGCGGGACAGCACCTGCCCAGCCAGAGGCGGCCCTGGGTTTACAGCTGCCCAGCACCACAACGGTCAGTTCAATCAACAGAAACTTTCCTTCTTTTGTCTTTCAAATAAATGAGATGGTAGTGTACTTGACGTCCTAGAGGCGCGATTTCCTAGAGATTTTGTGTTTGGAAGGACTGGGGGACAGCAGGGTCCCTGGTACCTGAATGCGCTGAGGTGAGGCTACCGCGGAGTCGGTGGAGATGATCTGGATGCGCGGGGAGGGGCTGGTCATCCCTGGAGATTCCGGCCGATGGGTCTGTGGACGCGGTACCTGTGGGCAAGATCAGAAGGCGTCAGAAAGCCGCCCAAGGGGCCCACGACCGCGCCTCTTGCTTTTGCTGTGACAAACGTGTGCAGGAGGCAAAGGCAGCACTGAGCCCCCGCACAGGAGTGCCCTGGAAAGACCACCCGAGAGTGCGGGAGAAACAGGAAGTGTTGGGTCTGCTCTGCCCGACCTCCCAAGAGCTACCAGGCTGACTTTTTGGACATGACCTGGGAAGTCTGCGTCTGTGTGAGCAGCCGGGAAAGGGTAAGGGGGCCGTTTCTGGAGAAAGGCTCCCAAGAACACTGCCAGGGACCACGGGCCAGAGGGACCCAGAACTAGAGGGTTCAGTGCCCGGGATCAGTGGAACGGGGCTGGAAAAGCCCAGCAGGAGCACCGGGGGCTGGGATGTGGTCAGGACCTGCCCAGAGGCTGGGGGCCAGGTGCTCAGTGGCCACCTGGTACCTGAAGTGGGCAGACATCCTCCTTGGCTGAAAGCAGATCATGAAGCAGTACTTTCCCAGAATTCCAGAACACGGCAGAGAACATTTGTTTCCTAATTCATTCTGCGAGGCCAATACTACCCGATACCAAAACCCACAGAGATAACAAGAATGAAAGAAAAAAGACCCCAAAACTACAGACCAATATTCCTTATGAATATTAATGTAGAAAAATCCTCAACAAAAGAAAGCAAACCAGGGCTGGGCTGGGCTCAGGGCTAGAGCGCTCACCTAGCGTGCGTGAGGCCCTGGGTTCGATCCTCAGCACCACATAAAGGTACTGTGTCCACCTATCACTAAAATATAAATAAATTACATATAAAAGCAAACCAAATCCAGTAGCATATGAAGGATGACATACCAGGATCAATGGGCTTCTTCCAAAGAACGCGAAGCTAGTTCAACGTATGACAATCAAACAGTTTAATACACTATGTTAAAACAATAGAGGACAAAAGCCACCTAGGATCATGTCAACTGACAGGAAAGGCATTATGACAAAATCCAGCAATAGAGAGAGACAGTTCTCATCCTGATAACAGGCATCCACCAAAAAACAAAGAAAAAAGAAAACTTTCCCCCTAAGATGACGAAGACCACAGGAGGCCCATTCCCCCACCTGCACACAGCCCTGGACTGGGGGGGCCGGAGGTCAAGCAGGGAAAGCGGGAGAGGGAGGGCGGGGCACACGGCATCTAGGTTGGAAGGAAGATGATGGAGACTCTGTCTGCAGATGAAATGGCCTTACATACAGGAAACCTCACAGAATCCACCACCACCAACTCAGAACTGGTAAATGAGCTGCAAGGTCGCAGGGTACAAGACAGACCTACAGCTGTCCCGTTAGTGATGAACGATCTGAAAAATGACATTAGGTAACAATCTCACTGACTAGAGAAGAATGAGACGCTTAGGAAGACACTGAACAAGGCCAACTGTAAGATCTGTACCCTGGAAACTGTGATCCAGCACTGAAGGAAACGAGAGACCGCGGAAATAAATGGGAAGAACTTTGTGCTCATGGATTAGACTCGACACCGTTAAGGCGGCCATACTCCCCAGACTGACTTTCCAATTTAGTGAAATCTCTACCAAAATTCTGGATGCTCTTTTTTTTTTTTTTTTTTTTGGTACCGGGCCCTGTCCAGAGCTCATGGATGCTAGGAAAGTGGTCTACCTCGGTGCCACGTCCCTGGCTCTTCTAATTTTTCATTTTGAGATAGGGCTTGCTTACCTTCCCAGCTGGCCTTCAACTCTGCCTCCCGAGGAGCTGGGATCACAAGCAAGGGCCACCAGGTTCACCCTCCACGTGATCATAAAATTTATACAATTTCCAAATACAAGGAGCCCAGAATGGCCAAGATAGTTGTGGGCAGGCGGGGAGCAAAGCTAGGAGACTCCGACTTCATTTCAAAACGTCATACAAAACCTACAGTGACCAAAATCACGTGGGATCCAGAAATTCTGTTTTGGGGCACTTAATCCAAAGATTTGAAACCAGCTGGTGGAAGGCACGTCTGCACTTGCATGCTCAGTGTACCATTATCTACAAGAGCCAAGTGAGGACGGCCATCACAGTTCAAGAGAGGAAGAAACTGTGGTGCACGAATACCACCTTGACACTCTTCAGCCTTTTTCAAGAAGTCTCACAGTAAAAAGCAAGCCCTTGAAATGATGAGCATGTTGATGATTCCACACTGGACTCGCAGATCTATCACCTTGTACCCCCAACACATCAACTTATCAATTGTCAATTTACAACTAAAAAACCAAAAAACAAAAAACAAAAAACCCTAGTCTTTGCATGAAGACAAAGACGAATGGAAAAGAACACAGAACTCAGAAAAAAACTTTTACACGTTCAAGTAATTTAGTGGGGAGCGGCACTGGGGATTTAACCCAAGGGCACGTTGCCACATCCCAGTCCTGTGTCATTCCCAGACAGAGTCTAGTTGCTGAGGCTGCCATCCTTGCGCTTTGCCTCTTGAGCTGCTGGGATTCTAAGTGTGCGCCTGGCTCAACTGGTTCTTGATAAAGGTGCCAAGACAATTCATCATGTTGGCCACTAGGCAGGTACTTCTAACCACCACCACAGGCGTGTGTGTGTGTGTGTGTGTGTGTGTGTGTGAGCGTGTGTGTTTGGTGGTGGTGTGGGGGGGTCGGGGTCCTCTCACTATTAATATAGCTTCTAAGTACTTTGTCTGTTTTAGATGGGGCACTCCAGAACCAGGAACCAGCCAAGACCACTCGGGCGTGCTGGCGCACCCTTTTTAGGTGACACAGAGTAAACTTCGCTCATTAAGATACTAACTTTCCCACCCAGGAGGCGGTCTTTAGCCATTCTTAGAACATGCAATGTATGAGGAAGCACGACCTTGAACTGAGCATGCTCAGGACAATGTGCCACCCCTATGTGTGACATGCGATGACGAGACTTTCCTATAGTGAACAGGTCTGAGACTTCCTAATAAAAGCCCCTTGCTAGCGGGAGGCAGTGGCACATGTCTGTCATCCCAGTGGCTCAGGAGGCTGAGGCAGGAGGATCAAGAGTTCAAAGCCAGCCTCCGCAACTTAGTGAGGTCCTCAACAACTTAATGAGACCCTGTCTCTAATACAATACAAAAGGGGGCTGGGTTAAGTGCCCCTGGGTTCAATCCTGGTACCACAACAAAAGCAGCCCCTTGGCTTTCTTTGCTGCTTTGAGAGTTCTCTCTAGTGCCCTCCGTACTTGCTACAAGT